TTTGTATCACATGTTAAAACCCTTTAGAAAAGACCCACCTAATGGAAGAGACACAAGGCAATGAAGTAGGCTCACAGCAACTCTGGTCATTAGCCACTTTGGCACTGGCATATATAGGTACACGAACTGAATGATCTTGCAGGAGGAGATGGTTGTTATGAATGGGCCCAACAGTATCCAATCCGATTTCTAGGACTCTTGCAAGCTACTGCTGCTATATAATAACCTGCCAGCATCAAGGGCTAATGGAGAGAACATCCAATTTACTGAAAGATTAATTGGTTACATGGTGTTGTGTGGATTATAATGGGTCCCTCCTATCTCAGGATGTACAGCTTTATTCTAAAAGTAATAGATGCATAGTCTGTGTATGTCACTATTTGAGGACTTATGAACCATTTGATACACTGACATGTTCCTATACATGTCACAACATTGATCACACCAAATAATCATTTTATGTCAAAGAAGAGTAAAACAGGACCATGTTCATGAAATTCACCAAACATTTCAAATTTGGTACCATTCAGAAATTGCCAGTCTGATACATGGTGATGTGATTGTCAGTTGGTGGTGACGTTGAAGCGCCAGCTGTCCTCCAGAACAGAATTTATATAGCACCATGCTCTGCATAGGAAGATTACATGGGACCAAAATCAAGGTACATACACAGCAGTGTTCCCACTTCGCATCATAATCATGATTCACTGAAGACTTTATGCTTTTCTTGTTGTCCTTGGGATTCTGTGCTCTGTAGATTTAGAGGTGTGAGACATATTTTGAAGAGAAGACACAGAAAGTATCCCATTGAAGTATAAACTATGTGTGCCTCATGGGCATTTTGGACTCCTTCTGTCCAGGAATGAGCTATCAAGAAATACCCATCTTGGCAGGGTTACTCTAAACTGATCAGCAGCTGGTAGAAGCTGGGGCTTACACAGTGTGGTCCAGAGTATCTAGCTGGTACTCCTTTGCTCAGCTGTACAACTTAAGCCTCAGAAAGACATGATGAGGAGAAGCTCCCACTGCTTAAGGGTGATAATCCATTTGGGTTTTGATTTGAAATGCTGTTTAAGGTTGGCTCTGAAATGTAACTCAAAGCTTATGCACTGAAGGTTTGTGTCCAGTGCAGCAATATTTGGAGGTGGGGCCTTTGGGAACTGATTGGATTATGAAGGTACTAACGTTATCAATAGATTAATGGATTTATCGATGGATGGGCTATTGGGAGGTGGTGGAAACTTCAGGAGGTAGGAAAAGCAGCTCACTGAGGTCCTCCCTAGAGTGTATTTTGTCTGTTTCCTCCCACTCTTTCTAATCCTGGCTGCCATAAAAAGCAGTTTAACTCCACCAGACATTGTCTACTATGATTTTCTGCTTCATTGTGGGCCCCAAAACAATGGGCCAACCAATCATAGACTGAGACTTCTTAAACTGTGAGCCAAATAAACCTTTACTTCCTTTGAATTGTGTTTTACAAGAATCTTGTAGTAGCTACAGAAAGCTGACCAGTGGAGAAACACAGATGCTATGAGGTGAGCCCATCATGATGCTGCTCAGTCTGACATGTACAGATAAAGGGATAACCAGGCTGACCAAGAAGGTGGACCTATTCCAGAACATTCAGGGAGTCTGGCTGAATCACAGCAGGGACATATGTACTAGAACGTTCTTTGTATTTTAGAAAAGTTTTGCTTTTTATTTAGTCAAGGAAAGTATAGCTCACACAGAAGTCATAGGTTGTTCAAGTTTGACCAGAATCTCAATTGGAGAACTAGCAAACTGTTGAGTTCTATATAAAATATGTGTCTGTAATTAACAACAACACCCTTTGCAACTCTGAACAAAGTAACACAATGCCTACTTCTATAGAAAAATGCCTCTTTATTTTTCCCTTGCTTTGAGTTGACATACAAGGGTCTAAAATGTAGATCCCTCACAAAATCCTGGGACTTACTACCAGCAGGAAGGGAAATATTTAGAAAAGGTATGGAAGTTCCAAGAGACTCTGAACAAGAAGGCTGGATTTTTCCTAGAACAGCACATAACTAATACCAATATGGAAACATATTAGATCAGAATGTCCAAAGGATATTTAAAGAGATACGAACTGCTTATTTCTGGATTATTTACCATTTAATTTCTCTAACACTTTCTTGCAGCAATTTCATAAAATGCAAAAGGGAATTCTTTTCCCTTCCATTGTGACATTTTGGTGGAAACAGAAATCCAAAGTTGAGACATTTTTGAAACCTGTGAGGAAGAGAAACTCAGGCAAAAATATCTACACACATACATAATCATAAAGAAAAGTTTACCCTGGTGCTTTCTCTTTTTTTCCAGGACTGGGGATGGAATCCAGTGCCCCAAGTGTGTTAGGCACATGATCTACCGCCAAGCTACATTCATGGGACTTCAATTTTTGAGGTAGGCTTTTTTTGTTTTGTCCAAGCTGTTCCTCAATGTGTGAAGCTCCTGCCTCAGACTCCAGAGCAGCAAAGGTGAGAAGTGTGTGCCACTGTGACTGGCTTTTTTTTTTTTGACTCATACATTAAACTGTTGCATAAAACATTCACGTGTGCAGACTATTCCAGTTTGTGTCCATGTGACCATTCTTCACATAAGTAACATCTAGCTAAAATATATTTTGAGAAATTTACTAGGTAGATGAGAACATGTTCCCCTTTGTTTTGACTTGATCCCAATACATTTTTTTCTACGTTTTTGAGGGTCTGGACATTTATGCTTATTTTACTCCATGATTATGATTTGAGAGTAATGAATACTGCTAAAATGCTAAAGGCTTTTTGAAGGAGTCTAATAATAGAATGGGTGGGATAATATTTTTATTACCAGATGCTTGTAGAAGACCAACTGCATCCTTGAAAATGCCAGCTACGTTTCCTGATTACTGTGGGTTATGCACAGTGAGAGGTGGTTTACATCAGGGAAGAACTAGAGGCAGCTGGCACCAGCTGGCCGGTGCTGGTTGAGCACATCTCTTCCCAAACACATTTAGCAGTGTCATCTTGGTAGCTTCACATGGGCCATGGTGGGAGTATGCACACTATGGGCATCAGCAAATGATGACATCAAGGTGTTTTTGTGTTTTATTCCATCCAGCAAGTCATTTTACCAGTGTTCTCTTTTCATGTATTCTTTTTAATCACCCACATATTTTTCACAGATTTATGCTTCCTCTATATTGTTCAACATACAGAAAGTACTTATAACACCTGTTTTAATGTATGTGTCTACTAATTCTGTTGTCAGTGGATGGCTTGCTGTGGATAGGATGTGGTGTGCAGCCTGTTTATAAATGATCCATGAGTTAAGATTGTCTTTACCCTTGCAAACGGTTATAGAAAATAGACATAAGCCACCAGGAAAATTCAAAGAAACATGAGACACCACTTCCTAGTTACTAGGACAAGTGCAATAAAAAAGAAAATAATAAGTGTCGATGAGAATGTAGAGAATTTGAAGCTCTCACAATCTGTTCATGAAAATGGTACAGCAGCTTTGTAAAAACTGGTTCAGCAGTTCCTGTAAAAGTTAAACCACACAGTTGCCCTATCATCTACCAAGTCTATTTCTAAGTATACATTCAAGGGAAATAAAACAGATGATGAGACAAAAATTCCTACCCAAATATTCACAGCAGTATTTTTTATAACAATACAGCAACCTAATGTCTATAGATAACATGACATAGATAACATGTGATGTATCTATACAATGGAATATTCTTTGGTAATATAAAAGTATGACACATACTATAATATGGATGAACCTTGAAAATACTATGTCAAAGGAAAGTCGCACAGTGCCACATATTGTATGATTCCATTTATACGACATATCCTGAAAAAGCTAGCCCAAGACACAGAAAGTTAGTTGATAGGGAATTAAAACTCACCATGTTTTAAAAGTATTTTTATGTGGCTAAAAAAATACTTGTTAGAGATATGTCAGGGAGTAGCTGTTAATGCGCATGGATTTGAGATTGACTGCAATGCTTTGAGTCTAAAATATCCCTCTGAAGTCTCATGCCCATAAGCAGAGCTTTTGTAAGGTGATTGGGTCATGGGGTGCAATATTCACCATTGGATTTGTTCACAATGGATTCAGTAGCTGAGTGTGCATTTAAGAGCTGAAGTCTTCTTGGAGGTGTAACATGAAGACCTTATTGTTGTCCCTGGATTCTCCTTTTTCTCTGTGTTTCCTGGCTTCCAAGGGTTGAGCAGCTTCCCAGTGCCAGTACCACTGTACCAGGCCATTTCTGCCTTGGAGCTAAGTAGCCTGGGACTGAATCCTCTGAAATATGAGCTTAAATAAACCTCTCTTCTTTTAAGTTGCAGATATTGGGTATTCTGCCCTAGCCATGAGAAAGTAACTAATACAGTGGTGAAAATATTTTAGAATTTATGGGTATAAAAATCTGTAAATATACTATGAAAACACTGAATTTAATACCTTAAAAGAATAAATTTTTATGATATTTCAATAAAATGTTATTTTAAAAAACATGGTTCCTAGACTTTGGGATTTCACAGACCTGTACAACACCACCAAACTAAAGTTTAGGAACTTTAGTTCCACAGATACCCACTATGATTGCTTGTTTTTGGTACTTAAAAACACTTAATAGCCATTTTGTTTCAAAAGAATTTCCTAAATGAAAGAGAATTTCTGATTCATACAGATTAATCATGAATGAGGAACCCTCCTTTAACTGGAATGGAGATTCATTTAAAAAGGTACTATATAAATGTTGTATGTTACTACAATGATATATAACACACCACGTTTTAAAAGTATTTTTATGTGACTGAAAAGTACTTGTTAGTGTTTTTTAAATTTTTATAAGGGACTCAAGTCCACCAATCATTGGCATAGAAAAAATCCTTTAAACCTTAATTTTACAGTCATGTAATGAGATTATTAATTCTTATATGTATTTTAATAATTTATTCACTGATAATAATATAAATAAGACGTAGTTGATAAAAACTTTATTCAAAACATATAAAGAACTATAATATATTTCAAAACTGCAAAAATAAAATACAATGTATGGTAACTTAAAAATAAAGACTATCCAAAAAACATTAGCAATCTACTATTTAAAATACAATCTCAAATTCAAAGCTAGTCTTTGTATTTCTGAATTTTGTAACATCTAAAATAGTCTTTACCCAAATACAATTATGCAAATGTTGCATCTCTATCACTTTAAAAATATAACTTGGGTAGTTTCTGACAAGTAAAACTATATGCCATTGCTCATTTCTTATACATCCAAATAAAATAGCTGAAATGACTAGAAACTAATTTTCACTAATGAAACACCAAAAAGTTAGTAAAATAGTTCTTCTAAAAGCAATGGATTAGCATTCTCAATTGAGCTACATAAGGATCTATTGCAACCTAAAGTCTCTCCAGATGATCCACTTTGTATTCATGTTGTTAGGACATTTGCAAAATGCTTTTCACCATTTAGTAATTAGGACTAAGCACTCAGGAGCTGTGAAATAGGCAGATGATCTTCAGTTTACACAAGGAGAAGCAGGACACAGGGGAGATCTCACTGCACCCAGAGTCAGACCCAATTAGCTTCTGGCTTCTTGTAGGAAATGTTTCTTCCAGAAAAGAACACTAGTTTAATGATGGGAGTAAAAGTATGGGGATTTGTTGGGGGTGAATTAATTTAGACTCCATAAGCAGAAAGTTCAGAGCATGGATAAGGCAGAGATTTCAGTGTAAAAAGGGTTAAGAGGAAAGTTAAAACCAGAATAAAGACTCTTCAGACAGAGATCACTTTTCAGAAGTAAAAATAGCAAAATAAGAATAGAAAAAAGAGGCATAAGGTACTCATTGCTAAGCCAAGGGGCTTTTGTAAAATCACTTTAAAAGGAGGATTTCCCTTGAACATAACCCTTAAACATCTTATTCTCCTCTTGCCCTAATAAAACCCCTATGATATAGAAGAACACTAACTTACAGGAATAAAATTGAGAAGTAAAGATATTAAGAGGCTGAAACCACATCAAGAGTGAATAGGCTGGAACAGATGTTGTCTTAAAACACTGGCTTAGAAATAGAAACAGAAGGTAAAGGATAAACAGGGACTTTTATGGATGGACAAGTGGAATAATCCAGGGATCTAGTAGCAATCCCAGCTACTTAACTTTTTTTGACAAAGGCCTTGGAATTTCAAGTATACAGTGAAACCAAAGATGACAAATGTCTATTGAAATACTTTGCTGAAAAGAATATTTATAATATATTCTTGCAACATTATGTGAAAAAAGACATAAATGAAGTGCATTGTGGACAAGAAGAGGCATTCAGCTCAAATTGCTGCTGCCTCTAATTAATATATAATGAACACGGAGCCATCAATAAGACAGGAGAGAAGAATTTAATTTAGCCTGATCGATATGCTAGGATAGGTGAAAAAATTACTTGTCATTATCAGAAAGGATATTGGAAAGCAAAACAAAGGTGCCTACTCACTTGGAAAATGGTGTACAGCTCAAGGCTTCACAGATCCACTATGAGTTATTAAGAAAAATTAATCTGAGGGAGACATATACGTGTTTTGAGACACGTATGTCACAAGAGTGGCTGTAATTGAGTCAGTGTAGCAAATTGGATATTCTAGATTCTCATGGAGATTTCTCAAGGTTGCTTCTGATTGCCTTTCACCACTGAGTCCCATGCTATGGAAATAAATACAACCAGTGTAGGTGACAATACCAAGGATCCTGGCTGGCCACTGGGGACCTGACCATACAAAGTTTAAATGGCAGTGCTAGCAGGAAACACAAGAGCTCAAATGCCCACCCCCTTCTACAAAACAAAGGAAGGAAATATCTGAAAAAACAGCATTTAGACTACTGAAATGTTTGGGATGGCAACTGTAATTTAACAGTAACTTTAAGCACAAGAGTGTATCTCCTTGGGTCCAACTGACACACCTTTTATGTAACTCATGTGCATGCAGCAACTATGAACATCACAGCAATAGATGGGAGGACTTAGAAGATAGCAGCCTGCCTATTGCTAATTCTTGGAGTTGTTGCTTTTCCATACATTTATGTGGTGCTGACACTGAGAACATCTGTTCTTCTGAAACTCAGGTATGTACCTCTAAACCTCCCAGCTGGAAGACAAGAATGTAACCAGTATTTTTGATGTAGGGAAGTATGTCATTTGATATAGATTAAAGCCTTAGCCTCCAAACACTGACTGGGGGATTCTGGTTGTGACCAATAAAATGGATTTATTTATAATCAGTGGACTGGAGGATGTTTTTTGCCATTAATAGTTTCCCTTCTCCCTGAGATTCATCGGTAAATTCTTTATCATGGCCCCAACTGATAATTTATGACAAAAAGATTTCGAGTATCTTCTGAATTTTTTAAAATGTTCTTTCATTCCAGTCTACTCAAATTTAAATGCCTACAATGAGGGTGAAATTTAGTAGAGCAGAATAACTGGTAGAACCACCACATACAGGAGGAACACACCTACTGGTTTAGAAATTTACACCAGAAAGGTAAACTAAATCTGCTCAAGTAGTATTGGTCTCACTGCTAATAAAACTCTTAGGTAGAATGTTGCTACAATGTCTAGAAGGATAGGACCAAGTTGGGATGTTTTCAAGCGTACAGGACAGCTTGGCCCACTGTTCTGGTGCCTGCCTGCTCATACACATGCATGACTCCATGCTTGGTCTAAGACCAGGTAAAGTGTTACCTGGTGAGGGTGTAAGAGAAGAAATACACCCTTACATAACTTTATCTACTGAAAGCTACTAAAATAACCTAATAGTTGTGAACGCCCAGATTCTACACATTTCAACAGGAATAACTATCAGCTCTGTTATAGCTTCTAGTTTCATAGGGATACAAGTTCTTGGGTATTCTAAGGTCTTTAAACAACCCAATGATGAAGGAAGGGCTTGCCAGGGAAGTGCAGAAACAGGAGCAGCACAGAGCTCTGTCACAGGAGTGACCCTACATTTCTACTTCACATCCCCTTCTCTTGTCTTGGCCAGCTTTTGCAGGTGTCCACTTTACAAGTGTCACTACCCCTGGGAGTTCCATAAAGGTGAGACAAACAGAGCTCTGAGTACTGTACATCAAAGAACTAAGCTAGGAAGAGCTGTTAGCTGTTCCTGCCCACAGAAATTGAAGCAAGTGGAAAACAGTGTTTTTGATTATTTGGATGGTTGTTTTTCTAACTATGGTTAATAGAATGCAGGTAAATTTTTCTGAGTATTTACACGTCAAACACTAAGTAAAAATGAGCATATGCATTAGTTTTCATTTTTAACATTTCTTAGATATTTCCCCCATACACCTTTTTACATCACTGCTTTAAAATAAGGGAAATAAGACAATTTTATTTCCTAATATCAAAAGTAAATTTAAAGGAAGTAACAATTATCCCTTCATGTTGTGTGGGGCTCCTGCAAATAGGACAAAACAGGATTCTGATCCTGTTCAGTAAGATCCTGTTCACTTTCCAAGAATCCTGTCCATGCTACATACTCAATGATGTTAGCAGTTACTACTATTAATGTGTAAAATGAGAGCACCTACAGGTTATAGTAATGTACGTTTTCAAACTTAAAAGATTCAGATATAAACCTTGCCATATGACAAACATTCATTATAGTAAACGAAATATCTGCCACCTATACATTAAGTCACGTTAAGTCAAACTGAAACTTCCATGATGCAGCTTGGTTCTTCTATGTTGCTGCGTGGTTCTTCCTCGGATACACTACAGTACTTTGAAAGCTGACAAGGGCACTGGATGTTAAGGTTTGACATGGAACACTAAGACAGTCATAGGCACTTGACTGCATGAAGAGAACTTACAATTTCCCATCAATTATCACCTTGTTTAATTCTCACCACAATTCTGAGAGGCTGGCAGGGAAGTTATTATAATTTCTGCTTTGTGGATGAAGACAATCGGTTAAGTGAATTGCCTAAGATTTTACGGTTGGAAGGGGGAAAAGCCAGGAGTAGAACCTGTTCTTCTGATTGCTGGAATAGTGGTCTATACTCTACACCACAGGGAATAGGCAACTCAAAAGCTGGCTCTATTGTATATGAAGAATAGCACCAGGAAACTGGCACAGGGTAGGGAAAGACTGAACAATCACAAACAAAATTGACACTTTTATACTACTATGAAAGAGGACTTAGGAAATCATTTTCAACAGAAGGATGAAGAAACTGTACTGGTCCTAAGAGTAAAGAAAATAATGAGGGAACCAGTTCATTTAGTTTTCAGCATATTTTTTTTTAATCACTACTGTTTGTACATTATAGAGAAGTCTAGCAAAAGTAAGAATTTCGTATCATGTGTTCCCAAAGAGCACAAACTTCTTCAAATTTGGAACATGTAAGAAGGCCGGGCAAAGGGAGAACCCTCATAGAAAAGATAATACATCACTAACGATTAAGATTCCTAAGCCATGACATTGGGTTGACCGAGGGTGGTGCAGACACTTGGTACGAGCTGGTATGCAGGCCTGGAGATGGACTGCTTACTAACCAGGCGGCACAGGCTGTGTTTACTGTGTGCACACTCCCTTTTACTTCAAATTAAAGGGTACAACCAAAAGCAGTGTGTGCTGTGGGAACTTATTCCTGCTTGTGTGTTTTAGTAAACCAGTTATGAAAAGAGTATCTAATACCAGCTGCCAATCATACACCTCAGCCTAACTCACTGACCTGTGAGAGTCTAACTTCCAAATTTAAATGGCATCATCAAGTAGTCTGGACTCCACATTTGGAGATCCACAGGCTAATTCTGGATGCTGTTTCTTCAGCTGAGGGGCGGATTGGTCAAATCCTTTTAAAGCTCCTCTTTATTTAGCAAAGATTTTAGAGAGAACAGATGGGAGGCACCAGGACAAGCTATTATAGAGTCATGTGGCCCCTACAAGGGCCAATAGCTATAAAGTTGCCTGTCTGTTCAAGAAATGTCATAGCTGACAGGAAAAGACAATGTTACAGTAGCTTTCTGCATAGGACATGTTTATGTCCTAAAATTTTTTTTCTATAACTATATTAAGAATGTTGAGGGTAGACAGTGGATTCCTTGTGGGACAGGACAGAGAGTTCCTCAAATGTGGTGTTCAAATCCCTTTCTCTGCAGATGAAGACATCTCTGCTCTCCTGGTGTCCACAGTGTGCTTTGGTTAAGCTAATTGAACAACCTGCTTCCAGCAGTATTCTAGAAGACAATGTACCTCCTCTCTGTAACATCCAGTATTTACTTACTTATTTATTTAGTCTTTTGGGGACAGGGTCTCACTAGCAGTTCAGGCTCGCCTTGAACTTGCAAGGATCTTCTTTCCTCAGCCTCTCAAGTGCTGGGGTTACAGATGTGTGCCACCACATCTGGCTTTGCACCCAGTATTTTCTGGATGCAACTTTGCTATTCTGACCACAGTCATTTTATTGAGGGACAAATATTTCAAAATTCCTATATCTTTAGTTACACTGACTCAGTGATGGCATTCTAAGTAATAAAGTTCGAGTATCCTCTTTTCTACAAAGGGCAGTAAACTCTTTCTCTGAGGTAGCAATGGGGATTCAGCAATGAGGTTCATTAGAATTTACCCTTTGATGCTCGGCAGTTATTATCTTTAAAATTGCTAATTACCTAGCCAGAGCACTGAGATGGAAGTTAAACATCCTTTTCCCCAGGATTGTTGGTCACCCAAGTGATAAGGGAGAGTGATTACTAGGTAGAAGGGTATGTAGTTTATATGGCAAATAGAAAAAGAAAGAAAACAAGAATTAAAGTCAGCACAACATGAACCATAAAGTATCTTTGGCATCTCATTAGAGATCTGTTAATAGTCTCTTTGCACTTTAGCTTAGAAACATGTCCTACACCATTTATTTGAGTGTGCATGCCACCTTTTAAAAATAATATGACAAGCTTGTAGGTTTAAAAAAAATCTGTGACACATCTCATCTTCCAGAATGCACAATAAAATTACACTTTCTTTAAGACGTGAGGGAGAGTGATTGACATTTGACATGTACCTGGGATACTTCGGCAAACATCAAAGCTTTGTAGGACACCCTAATAGGTAAGTCACTATCTTCCTTTCTTTTTGGCATCTCTTTACTCTTGTTGACCAAGTAAAGTAGAGGAGGAGGGATAGAGGACACATAGGTTTAGCATATATTACATATTGAAATAGCTTCAAAAAGAGTTTTCAAATTTCCTGGCTTTTATTAACAGAAGTTATTTCATGGTGATTTTCCAGTGGTCTTTTCTGAGGTAGATAAAACACGGAAGACAGGTAGTCTGAAGAATGCAGAAGGGTAGCTAACACTTGTGTAGACTGAGATCAGTTTGTAAGAAATGTCAGAAGTGAAAACAGCTTGAATAGAGAAGAGAGGGGCAGGGCTATGGGCTGCATACCATTGAGTGTGGCTTCTAAAACAGGACACCATTGTATCTGCATGTAAACAACAAGGGTGTGGGGATCATGGCAGAGCAAGAGTGAAACCTGCAAGATTCATAGCTGGTTCCCAGGGGCAGGTGACAGAAGGGACTATGGATCCGCAGTAACTTATACAGTAATAGGACAGTTTAAAAGCAACTAATGTTTTAACACTTTAAAATGCTTTTTGCTGTTATTCTGGATAAAAAGCAAATGTCTATCTCCTCAGGCCTCTGTTTGTACTTGGGTATTTCAATTGTATTCTGCATGTTAGGCAAATCTAAATTCTGGCTAAGCAACTAGTGAAATGAATTCTGGACTCATTTTTCTACCCGTTTGAATTATAGAGGAACAGGCTGGCTGCTGGAGACCCAAGGAGGTGAACACTACCAGCTGGGGCCTCTCTTTCAGAAGAATCACTGCAGTCATCACAGGCAGATGCTGTACTTTCAAATGAACATTCCATCGGAGGCCAAATGTTAGTAGTTAAACACCAGCATCACAGAAACACACAAAGCAGTAGGCAAGTTCACAAACACAGCTGGTGGTTAAGAAACCCCTAATGAAGGAAAGAAATCTATTAGCTCCAAGCCATTCATCAAGACTTTTAATACCCTTAGATTGGGACTGTTATATGAGAGAGAATAAAATAACTATTGGCCTCAGTTTTTTTCTCCCCAATCTAAGACTAAACATTTGTTAAAAACCCATTGGAAAATGAGGAAAATCACACATAATGTTCTCGTGGGTTGATGTAGACTTTCTCAGGGTTGGTGCTTTGATGTTTGCCAGTGCTTGGATCTTTGTAGCACATCTGACTGTAAAGGGGGTACATCTGCTGAATTCCATCTTCTCCCACTGTGCTCTCATCTTCATAGTCAAATCTTTTGCTATTCAGTCCATTCTGAAAATTCAATCATTGTTTACATTAGCAGAGCAGCTGTTTGCATTTTGCAGCACTTTGCTAAAAACAGGCAAAAATAGAATTCATTAAAGTCTATGTCCTTGATTTATTATCCCACAAGGAACTGAGTGGCAAGGTAAAATTCACCAATTTATCATGTTCCAGTAATTTGTTACTTGCAATAATGGAGTAGGAACGAATGGTAGCTCCTAAATACAAAATTGTGATCAATGGGGACAGTGATCACTTGCAGGTTTTGGAATTTGGAGTTGGTATTAGCTAAGGACAACTGGAGAATAACAAGGCTGTGAACTTCAAAAGTCTCTCCAGTAAGGCCCAACACTGGGCTTTATTTGTCAGATACACAGCCAACTAAGAAAACGAAGCAAAAGAAACCTTTGTAGAACCAGGGAAAGGGCAGTAAAGTGAACTGGCACGTGTTCCTGTTTATACCTGACATGACTGCACACTAAAATAGGCATGAGTAATCTAAAACGAACTTTAATGGACTCTAATGATATTTGAATAAGTATGTTAGCCCCAGCTCCTCCTAGGCTGATATGATGTGACCATGTTACTTACAGAGGGCAGAAGACTACCAGCTTCTTTTTCTTTGAATTGAGTCTGCAGAGGTGAGTGTTCGGTCTGGCAGAAGACATAAAAAGACACACAGTTTAAACCACCAAGTGCATATCAACCAACACCAGCCAGACTCCTGCTCTTAAGAGAGAGAATCACATCCTGTTAGAATATCTACTGATTAAGCAACCTAATTTTCCAAAGAAGGATGGAAAAAGCAACTATATATTCCTTGTGTCTTGCCCTGTATCTGCCTGTTTGTCTCTTTGTCTGTCTTTTCCCTCTCTTTCCCCATCCCTCCTTCCTTCTTTCCCCTTACTGGCTCTAGCTGTATTTTAGCAAACAATTACACAGCACATCTGCTGCAGAGAATGTCATGCAAACTTATTTATATGTTGAGATCTCAGCACACAAAGTCTTCCACCTTTTACCAGTACAAGAGCCCTGGAAAAACTGAAGTGGGTAAGAGTGGTTTAGAGTGGCAGTGAAGCTCTGTCCACCTGTGGACATCCAGATGATGGCTCTCGTCTTCCTGCTTGTGACTCTCTCATCCTCCCCCACCTCCCACAGATGAGAGGACTCATCACTTTCTAACCTCAGAAAAATCTTTCTCAACTTCTGACTTTCAAACACATACTTTAAACACTTCCAATCTCAACTTCAAATATGACATCTTCTGGGAAATCTTGCACAACACTCAGGTGGAGACAGCTTCTGTAGCACCTATTATCACAATTATTGCTTTACTTACTTGTCTGCTTCACTAGACTGAGAGTTCTTGTTAGAGTGTGTACACAGATTATCTCATCTAATCCTTATGAATAATACTGCAAAACTTGTGTATTTTATTTACAGAGGACTAACTCTGAGGCTCAGAGGGGTTAAGTAAGCTGTCTCTAATTACACAGCTGAAAAGTTGGTGATTATGGTTCAAACAGGGCTTTGATTACACCACATCCTTTCTTCTAGCTCAGTGCCTAGAATATAGGTGCTCAGTGAACATAAGGCATGAAGGGAAAGCATGGAGGAATGCCCCAGTGTGGACACATCTGTCAACATGCTTTGCATGCCACTGCCTTTGCTCATGTCTTCCCTTTGGTCTCGAAGTTTTGCCCTTTAAGGTCTGCATTTAAAATACTACCCATCCATCATGGCCCGATCAAAGTCATCCTACCAGAATGGCTTCCCACATTTCCTGCCAAAGTAATGATCTTTAACTTGCAATTTTACTACTGCTCTTAATTATACCTCTGTTATAGTACACATCAAGGTCTGCGGTTTTAGAGTCCCTGAGGTTTATATTTCTCAACTTCAGTAAATAGCAAGGCCTAGTTGTTACTATGGTCTGAAAGTTTGTGGCCTCCAGATTCATTATTGAGGCCTCATCTCCAGTGTGAAGGCACTGGAAGGTAAGATTGGGCGGTGGGAGGTCAGAAAGGAAGGACCCTCATGCATGGGATTTATTTGCTTGTAGGCACTACAGAGATCAGGACTTTTCCTTCTACCCTGTGAGGCTGCAGTGAGAAATTGTCATCCCAAGAAAACACCTCACCAGACACCAATTCTGGTAGCTCCTTGATCTCCACATTCTCAGTGAAGAAAAATATAAGCTAAGCAGTTTATGGTGTTTTGCTGTTGCAGCTCAAATGGACTAAGATACCACATGCTATCCCATATTATGGCCTAGAGTTCTACAAATGTAAGAAGTCAACAATTAATGAGTTGATTAGAATCTAAATTATCATTAATTCTTGATATCCTGTGTGACAGTTACCCATATGAAAAATTACACGGGACAATTTTCTTGACCCTATTCAGCATGATTCCAGGGTACTTTTCCCATGACCAGTCATCCTCTTCTGCATCCTGATGACTGTTCTCATTTGGCACACCTCACTCAGAAGTGGCTTCCACCTTCCACCATGGCAGGGGCCAGAGGGCTCGTTCTGGGAAGGTCAGAGGCAGGAGTGCATGCCCTGCTGGGATTGTACACATCATGGAGGTCACGGGAGGCCATGCTCTAGCAAAGGCCAGCCTCTTACTCAGCTCAGTCTAAAATTGCCATATTGACATTCTTGATTTTCGAATGAGGGGTCTTTGCATTTTCACTTTGGGTTAGGCCACACATATTATGTAACTGGTCCCAGTTTAACAAAAATAGACTCGTAAAAATATCTTACATGAAAATTGGCATTTTCTTTCATTTGTTTCTGTTGTAGATTGTCACTGTAATTGCTTCTTTTCTATTTCAATATAGAATAAAAAAAGATTCTGCATCACTCATGGCTGACTCTGATTTGATAAGAGGCAGACAAGCTATAAGCTTCTCTGCAGAAAGGGTAGGTATAGGTTTTGTGAGCCACTGGAGCTAATCCATTCTTTCTAAAGACATATTTGGAAGCCAAAGATGGCTTATTCGCAAAATCATTTCTCTCATTTCAAATATCCTTTGTACTACAACAATGAAACCTAAACCTATTTGTGTTGATTTTTAGAAGATCATGTCAGTAAAAGCCATCATAACTACTACCTCTTTTATGAGCACGAAGGAACCTTTGACAAAGTCAGTCCACCAGCTGTTCACTGTTTTGTTCTGTACTCCCATATGTGTAATAGTCTGGCTTAATTTTTAACTCTGACACTTTTGTAAAAGGAGAAAGCAACTTAAATAATGATATTGTAAGCAACCTCAGCTTTCACAACAACTAATATATAGTATGTACAAAATTAAAAGCAACAAAAGATTTCTGATGGTTGTTTCTGAACCTTCTTTAATGATCCAATCACATAGAAAAGAGAAGGAAATTAGAATGGAAATCCTGAATAAGCTCTCAGGGCAATACTGAAAGGTGGCCTTCGTTTATCCCTCCCCATCGGGGGCGGTGTGGATAGCAGGGGTATAGTCAGTCCTGCAAGAGAGCCACACTCTAGGAATACAACAATTATGACTGCAAGTGTTCAAGGAACGATGCTGTTGGAAGATGTGATCTTCTACATCTATAAAACTCCAAATCCTAAATTTAACAAGACCAGAAATTAACTTACTGTTTACCTCTTCTTGAACAGTTGGTCATCATCAGACAAACATGGTAACATCCTTAAGTCCTTGGTTGACATGATGGAGGGTCCATGAGTAACAATATAACCAATATTAATTATATTAGGGAATTGTGCAGGCTACACAAATTTAATGTTTGAGCCTTAAATGTTATGAATAACAACAGGACTGCTATCTTTTTGTCATGGTTGGAGGAAAAGAGGAAGGAAGGAAGAGAAGGAAGGGGGAGAGAGAAAAAGGAAGGAAAAACAATAATACATTTGGACATAGCGGGGCATGCTTGTAAGCTTAGCCCTCTGGGAGGCTGAGGCATAAATATCAAACAGTATAACTGCTAAATTGTATAGCAAGAGTATCCTTGGTTTTGAAAGAAACTGTCAGGTTTTCTTTCTAAATGAGTATATCGTTTTCAGTCTTATTAGCAAAAAGTAAGTTTTGATATTCTATATTGGTGCTTTTAAGAAATTAGTAACCACAGTCTTTAAAATGAAAAACTTACATGTTCGGAACTTATTATATATGTACTGAATAAAATTATTATTTTAACAGTTGGATACACAGTATATATTATTCCATTATTCTATTATTCTTGTATTTTTTCTTAGAAAATCTTAGGTTATTCTGAATCTGTAATACATATTTCAGTTTCCAAACAATATGTACTACACTGAAGTAATTTCTACAAACTGTAATTCATGCTCATTGTCTTTAATCAAGTGAGGTAGACTCATTAATGGCTTCCAAGGTGCTGTTAGCAACACCAGTTTCTCTGGTTTGATTTATTATCTTAGCAAACATGTCACCTCCTTTACCAAAAAATAAACCAGAACCTTCTTTATTTTGAATGTATTATAACTCTACCTTGTTTCCATAAGGATGGTATTTATAAATCCCAAAGGAGAACTGTCAGTCACTGGACTTTATTCTCAGTGATGACAAAAGTAAGATTTTCAGTAGCTATTGTCACAAGGCCTATCTTCAAACTAGAATTCCATTTGAGTGCACTGACTCCATATCTATATTTCATTCTCTGTTGTATTCTGTCTTTCATAATTTCATCCAAAGTTCTGTACTTCTCCCTTAGAGCAGTAGTGTCCTTTTGCCCAAGTTCATTGTGATTTATATACCTTAAACAGTATTCTTTAAACACACGCTGCTATCTCCTCAAGCTTTTCCCTAACGCGTTCTCTCCAGTTACTATTCCTGACATCCACCTTCTCCAGGACATTTTTAAGCCTGGAGAAGGCAGAACTCCTATTACCACACCATCTGCTATGATCATGAGTCTTTCCATTATAGACTTTGGCACCTAGATTATTGTTTCTCCACCTATACTTGTGATACCATTTTGAGGGGGTCTTGATGTTCACAATAATGGTTTGTCTCATTCCCTCATTTCACTTTCTGGTATTCCCATTTGAGCAAATCATCCCCACAACTACAAGGATTCCCATGCCATGCTCTTAAACCTCAGCTCCTTTTTCCTTACTTAGCTCATCACTGATTCCTTCCACCTGGTATCTCAATCTGTTCAAGCTTCTCTCACTTTAAAAGAGAAATGAAAACATAATATATTTTAAAACTTCAACCTCCTAAATCTGCAAAAAATTTAACTCACCTCTCAAAACCTCAGTTTACCAAGGTATGGTAAACCCACCCCTTTTTGCTGAAGAACATTGTCTTCCTTTCATTCCTAAGGCTGTGAAGACTATGTGCAGTTCATACCCACTGTACAGCTGGCACATTTTCCACTGCTGCCTTCTCACTTCAAGCACTTGCTAGGCTTTCCTTGTTATATCGCAGGGTAGCTGTCTATTGCCCCTTCAGCACAGCAGGCATAGCTAAACATTTTAATACATCTTCACTAATTTTTTAGGAAAAGACTGATCTCATGGTTTGTGCCTAGATGTCTCTCCAAAAACTCATGCAGTCATAGGACTTTTTCAGAGGTGGCTAAATCTAGAGCATATGATGCTGGGATTAAGGGTATGCGATTAGTAAATAAGTC